AGAGAGCCGAAGATTGCAAGGTAAACATTTTTTTTTAAGAACATATAATAAATAAATTCAATTAATTTACATATTTTCATAAAAATCATGAAAAAATACTAAAATTAGTTAATTAATTGAATAACTACAAAGACAGTTACGAAGAATCTGAAGTTAAATTGAAATGTTCTGAATTTGATGTTAAATTGAAATTGAAAAGTCATGTAATAAAATGGTAACATTGTTATATTTTTATACTCATCTAAAATCATAATTTTAACTTCATCATTAATTGTTTTATTTGTATAGACATATTAAGTCCTTTTAGAATATCATTTCTCTTTTCAACATTGATACTTTTATGTAATTTTTATGTAACTTTTATTTAAACCTGCAAGAAGAAGAAACATTATAATAGATAAATATCTTTTCTTCATAAGGAGAAATGAAAGAATTATTAAATTTTTCAATCAATTATTACACGACTATAAAAACAATAAAAACAATTACAAAGAATCTAAAGCCAAGTTGAAACCTTTATGTAAAATGATAATGTTAATATTAACATTTCAACTTCCTATTTTTCTGAACTTTATTCTTTGTCATTCAATTGATTAATTAATTTTAGCATTTTTTAAATAAAAATTACATGTAAGTTATCAATATCAAAAGAGATGTTATTAAATAATACCCTAAAAGGATCTAGTATGTGTGTATAAAAAAACGATGTAAAAGAGACATAAACAATACTCTCAATACAAAAAGGGATATGTATAGGTGAATGAAATCGTTTAAATTAAGAGTAAAATTAACATAGACATATAAAAATATGTCTTAAAATGAGTATAAAAATATAAATGAGTATAATTAAAATGAGTATAAAATATAAATATATAAATGTTACCATTTTATTATATGAATATTTCAATTTGATATTTCTAGATCATATTCATACATATTTATATAATACATATCTATATAATATAAAATAATTAGCTTTATCTAACTGTGATTGGGAAAAAATGCTAAAATTAATTAATTATTAATTGAATGACAAAGAAATAAGTTCAGAAGAATAGGAAACCAAGTTGAAATGTTATTATTAATTATTAATATTAACATTATTATTTTATATAAATGTTTCAACTTGGCTTTCCATTCCTTGTAATTGTTTCTGTAGTTGTGTAATTAATTGATAAATTTTGTAATTCTTTTATAATGTTTCTTCTTCTTGCAGTTTCTTCTTCTTTAAATAAAAATTATTAAAAATAATAAGTTAATAAAAATTAGCAATGTTCAAAAGAGATAATACCCTAAAAGGATCTAGTATATATATATATATATATATATATATAATATCTAGTGTATATATATATATATATATA